CAGATTTGATTCCAGAATCAGAGCTAGGGGATTCACTATCTGGTTCGCATCCTTAAGCCTAGATATTCTGAAATCAAACTAGTAGCAGCATCAATTTAGATACACAATATTCAAATAGTGTAACATATTAAATTATTTACAAATCTGTAGAAACATATGTGTATGTATAAACATATATATTTTAAGGAAAAGGAGTTGTTTTAAAGGCAATTACGCTTATTCTTTCTCTCAGAATCATTGTAGGCAGTGGAGCTATGCTTTTTAAACAAATATGTTCTAAGTAAAAATATGTTTTTAAACCAAATCCCCAGGTTTTTCCTATGCTGGCCTATGGAAAGACAAACTAACAGGTGGTTTTCACACTGTTCATTCTCCTAATGGCAAATAATTCAGGTATGGAAATACTTTAAATAACAACCTTAAAACAGGCCAGAATTTATTTAACATAAAGAGAGTTAACATTAACACCTCGCTTTTGAAAACCTGAAAGTGTTAAGTTGCTCAGTTGTTTTCAGGTTTCTGTGTTCTTGGGATTTTCCATGCAGGAATACTGGAGTGGGTTGCCATTCCCTTCTCCGGGGGTTCTTCCCGACCCAGGGATTGAACCGGGATTTCCTGCACTGTAGGCAGATTCTTTACCATCTGAGCCACAAAGGAGGGGGAAAAAAAACCCACCTCATTTGTAATTCATATATCCTTAGAATCTATTTTTATTATGCCTGAAGTGTTTTAGAGTATGTAGTCTTTACTTAAGAAAAGTTCTTAGGTAAAATTAGCTAGGAGAAAGAGGGAGTAGAATATTTTATAAAATCCAAAACCAAGAAAATGAACCAAAAAACCAAATGAGATTAAAGAAAATCAAATTTTGCTAAATTCCACTTTCAAATATCTAGTAAATTTCCTTAGCTATAAGGAATTCCTATGCTAAAATTGAGACTATTCTTGCTGATTATTTTCATATCTATTAATTTATACCCCAACATTTTCCAAAGAGGATTTGAGGCACCAGTGAAAAATATTTTAACTGGCAATCCAAAGGCCAATATAAAATCTGAAAAGACTCACAGTACTTTATAAAAAATGAATTCTTGCTGTGCAAAAGATACACAAACTTGTCCCCCCAGGTAATTTGGCCTTTTAATGAATCAAAGGGTCCCGGCACGGTGTATCAACAGTGGCTAACATCATAGTGTGAGCCAAGCAAGATTACTTGCCTCTAGAGGAAGCGCACACTCCACCTAAGAAGGCTCCCTGGATCCAACCAAACCTTGTCTAAATCCAGCTACAAATTTTCAAGAAATACAGAGAAACACGAGAAATTACATTGCAGAGGTACAATCAGTAAAATCCCAATAACAGAAATATTATCACTTAAACAAATAAACTACATGGAAAAGAAAAACAGAAATAAAGAGGGATCTACAGATTAAAAGATACTATCAACCAAACACAATAAATGGTCCTTATCTGTATCTGGATTCCAAAGGAAGAAACTATTGAAGAAACTATAAAATCTATGAGACAACTGGAAATTTGAATGCTAACTGGCTATTTGATATTACAGAATGACTAATTACTGCTTTTCCAAGTTTAAAAGAATTCTTATTTTAAAAAATTTTCAGACATAAACTGAAAAATTTATGGGTGAAATGACATGATAGTTAGGATTTGCTTGAAAATAAAAGCGCAGTGTGTGTGTGTGTGTGTATGAGAGTTGTAGGCATGAGGTCAGGGATGAACAAGGTTGACCAGTAGTTAGTAATTGCTGAAGCTGGATACTACTCTGTTCACTTTCCTACATGTTTGAAATTTCTCATAATAAACAGTTATAACAAAGACTGTTGTTGAAACTAGTTCATACAATCACAAAAGGCCAAATACAAATTTAATAATTCTTAAGGAAAATTATGTAAACATGTCACCTTCTTAACCAAGTATAACTAGATCAGAAGCAGCTGTGCGTGCATGTGTGTTAGTCACTTCAGTCGTGTCCAACTCTTTGCGACCCTATGGACTGAAGCCTGCCAGGCTCCCCTGCCCATGGGATTCTTCAGGCAAGAATACTGGAGTGAGCTGCCATGCCCTCCTACTGCCAAATCGACAATGTTAAGGAAAAAAATGTGGTTTTGTTTTACCTCACATATCATGAAATAAATTGGTTTACTCACTAGTAATTGCATCATCTGCACTTTTCTCTATCCAGAAAGTTAAGACATTTTATTTTAAACAGACAAATTGAGGTGTACCCTCTAACACTTATTTAGGAAGGCCAAATAAACACATTTTAATCTGTCAACAAATTATTCAAAGCGGCAACCTGAAAATTAAGTTCTCAGGAGTGGATTCTCCTCAAGAAACTCAGGAAAATCAACACTCTTCAGAGACGACTATGCCAAAATAAGATTGTCTTTAACCCTGTAGGATCCTTTGGAAGGGGGAAAAAAAGGTTAAATGAAGGGAAACGTTATCTAGATTGGATTTTATTCTTCCAGAACAAATTAAGAGCCAAAGAAAATACTCAGACCTAAGGGACTCAGGAAAGAATGCTGATCTGTGGGAGACCTGGGTTCAAATTTCACTTTCCAGCTGCTTGCTACAAAACAGACTGCCCAAACTCTGGGAGCCTCTGTTTCCTCCTGTGTAGAAAGTGGAGGCTAGCAGGCTTCCTAGCTGCTATCACAGGGCTCCAGTGACAAAAGAGAGTTCCTGGACAAATAAGGCCCAGCTCCCCTAGTCTTAAGCTACCTTTCTAGCTCACTGCAACTCTTCCCTCCTAAACAACATGCCTTGAAGTCCGGAGTCCGACAATCCTGAAATAAAACTGAATGAGGTCTGCATTTGCTTGGCTCATAGCACTGAAAACATTTTAAAATAAGCTACTGCCAATAATTAAAAATGAAGAGAGTACAGATACAAATCTCAAGTTCTGACGTCTTTATAAAAATTGCTGGGTAAGTGGCGTCTGGTTCTCAAGGGTCTCCACTACTCTGATCTCTCACACCTGGCCCCACAGGCTGATTTTTGACCCCAATATTGGGCTGAATATTGGAGAAGGGGATGACAGAGGATGAGATGGTTGGATGACATCACCGACTTGATGGACATGAGTTTAAGCAAGCCCTGGGAGTTGGTGATGGACAAGGAAGCCTGACGTGCTGCAGTCCATGGGGTCTCAAAGAGTTGCACACGACTGATTGACTGAACTGAACTGACTGGGCTGAAGCTCCCCCTTCACCCTGCCCTTCCTCACTTCTTGCCTTCCCCTAGACCTGACAAGTTTCTCATCGCCATTCAAGTCAACTCCAGCACCAGCCAAGCACCACCACCTCCTCCAAGTTCCCACAGCACAGCCCCTCCTCTACAGCAAGCTGTCTGAGCACTGTCTGCATGTCTGCTTTCTCTACTGGGCTCTTGGGCTCTCTGGAGGAAGGGACCCTGTTGCTACTGCCTTTGTGTCCCCAGGGCTGAGCAGAAAGCTGACCTAGATAATGTAGAATTCAGTCAATGTGTCCTGAATGAGAGGAAGGAAGTTAGAGCTAAAACATTATAAAAATGTCAGATTTTATATTACAGCTTGTTCTGATAGTTACCAAATAAAGGGGTCAAGGACATTAAAATGTTTCACAAAACTAAAGCAACCTACCATCTGCATACAAGTTTCACAAGTTAGTCAGAAGTCACTAAACAAACAGAGAAAGCAGAGGCAACAGGCTGGCAGGGTCATTCATTCATTCATTCACTCACTCACTTAACTAATATTACTGAATACTTACTGTGTGCTTTCTAAGCACTGGGGATAAAGCAGTGGACAAATCAGACAACTACCTGTTTTCATAAAGCTATAATCCTAATGGGAGAGACAGAAAATAAACACGCAAATCAATAGAATAGTTTCAAACCAGATACTGGAAAGAAAATTAACGTAATGAGACAGAATGACTAAAGGAATAAAAAGGGTGGTCAAGAACAGCATTCAGTAAATTGAAACATGTGAGGAGAAGGACCAGAAGGAGTCAGCTGTGCAAAGATCCGCGAGGCAACTGCAATCACTGGACACAAGTGGAAAGGTCCAGAGGTAAACAGGGCTGAATGTTCAAGGCCAGTAAGATGGGTAGGTTAGGAGACCAGTGCTCAGGGTTGGGGGACTTGTCGGGGGCGAGTTGGTCAGGGCCCGCTCAGGCACTGCTGGGCACTGAGTATGCAATGACAAGGCACTTGGGGAGCACGAGGATGGAGGACTCTGGGCGGACTCTGCTACACTCAAACCAGCAAGGAGCAGTATCCCGCCCATTTTTCCACAAGTGTGCACCGGGCGGGCTCCTGCCCAGGGGCTTTCACACACATTCATAGAGCTTGACAACAACCCTGTCCAAAAAGGGGAGACATTTCCCCCACTTTGCCGAGGGGAAAACAGAGGAACGGAAAGGATCAGTGCCTTCGCCAAGGTCGCAGGAATCAGATCCCAGGCTTCTGAGCATCCGGGAGGAGGTATGCAGCTGGGTGCCAAACAATCGGGGCGGGGGAGGGGGCGCCCACAGACCCTACAGCAGGTCTGCCGGGTCAGAGCGGGTAGCGAGCCCGCAGCTGTGGGGCGAGGACAGCCGCGCGTAAGGGGGTGACTGCGGCAGCCTGGAGGACGAGGGGCTGCGGCCGGGGTCGCCAGCACCCCGCAGACCCCGGTCGGCCCACAGAACTCGGTCTTCCCGCTCCGCACCCCCCTGTCCCCGCAGAGCCTGGCCCAGCGGCCTTCCCGCCGCCCCTCCCCGGCGAGGCTCGGTCCCAGAGTCCCCGCTGGGCCTAACCCGCCCGCCGGGCTCACCTCGCCTCCCCGCCGCCGCGCCAGAGGGAGAGGGCAGGCGGGCGGACTGGCGGCGCAGCGCGCTAGCTGCTCGCGGCTCCGCTGCCCCGGGCTCGGCCGGTCGCCCCGCCCCGCTCTGCTCCGCTCCGCCCCGCCGCCGCCGTCGCCGCCGCCGCAAAGGGTGTGAGGGGCGCCGGGGCGCCTAGGACCCTTCCGGTCTGGATTGCTTCTCCTCCGCTGCAGCCGCCGCCGCGGCGCCCGGCCTGACCGATCCGTGCGCCGGCCAATCAGCGCGCGGGAAGCTGGGCGGGCGCGGCCAATCGCGCGCGCGCGGGGCTGGGGCTACTGCCGGGCGGCTCCGGAGGAGAGGTGGGGCCAGCCCGGCGCTGGTTGACCAGTTCTTCGGAGAGCGGCGCTCGGCGGCCGCGCTGCCGATCGCTCTGCGTCTTATTGACGCAGGCCCGGCTCCGCGCGCAGACTGAGCTCTACAGGCGCCCGCGATGCGGCGGCCGAACACCGCGCTGGGAGGCGATAGAGAAGGGGACTGACGGGACCGAAAGCCTGGCCGCTGGGCTTGCAGGTGCAGACTGACAGCGGCGAGTCGGTCTGGAGGAAGGCGGAGAAGGTCCATGAGGGGAGGGCCAGGGCGACGGGGCCTTGGCGTCCAGGACTAGGAGGCGGAGGCGGCAAGGACGTGGAGACGAGAAGAACGGACCTTGGATTCCTTTGCTCACTGTGAAGGAGTTTGAGGGTTGCTGCCAGAAGCCGAGGCATGGGAGAAGATGGCCATGTGTAGGCACCTGGGCCCGGCAGGTCAGTGACAGAGGGGAGGACGCCTGGAGCAGAGTTCAAGCCTCTGGAACAAAAATTGCCACCATCTAGGATTATGGGAAACTCAGGAGGTCTGGCTGTCAGAGCTGTAGTTTTACAAAGGATCATTCCTGGGCTTCTCAGAGGAGAATGGCAGAGTCATAAATGGAGGGAAGGGAGTGCCCTTAGGACCTGTGATTTGTTGGCAGTGACCTTCTTCAGAGGCATCTCCCCCAGCTAGCCTCTGGATCTGGTTCCAGCAGGTCTGAAGGTGTGAAATGATGGGAGAGTTGTTGTCAGATCCGTTTCCATTAGCAAAGCTAGAAGTGAGGCACGAAGGCTGGAGCCATTGGGGAAAATCTCAGAGGTCAGTGGGTGGGGTGAGAGGACTTTGGGGATGGGGAGACTTGTGAACTGTAAAGGAGGAACAGCCCTCATAGGGTGGCCAGGGCAAGGGCCAAACTGGAGGGGAGGAGCAGGACTCGGCAAATGCGGAAGTTAAGGGGCTAAGGGACTCCGAGCAGAGTGGCAGAACTTGGGGAGGCTGGCAAGCCTGTGAGCCAGGGCCAGGCTGGGGGCACCAGGCCCTCAGAAGAGGGGTAGTGTAGAGGAAGGGATCCAGGTACAGAGTTCCCCTTAGGCCACCCTCATCTTGGCTACCAGAGCGAGTTTTCTAAGACTAAGTATGGCCCATCCGTGTTTGAAATTGTCATTCCTGAGTGTTGCCTGCACTGATAAGGGCCCGCCTGATAGGCTCCTGCCCACACCCAACATACTGCTACCTGTTCTGGATGCACAACAGAAAATAGGAAGCCACAGTTGCCACCATCAAGGATTATGGGAAACTAATGAGGTCTGGCTCTCAGAGCTGTTGGTTTACAAAGGAGCATTCTAATTCCTCTCAGATTAGAAAGGAGCACCTATTCTCAGATACACTGCAGTCCTGACTTTGCAGCAATCACCCCATGCAAAGTGAGTTCCAAAAATCATTGTACATATCAGAGGAGAGCATGTCATGTAGTTTTCTGAAAGGATTCTGCTTTTTTCTGGCTTATGACGTGCTGTAAACATTTATGGACACAGCTGAAGTGACAGGATAGGGGTCAGGGAGCTGGCCTGTACTTGGAAGAGTGTACAGAATTCCAGTGGAGGCTAACAAGTGAGAAGATTCTGCCACAAGTGTGTTGAGAACTGCAGGGATGGGGGAGAGGGGAACATATGGGCATGACTGACAGCTGATCTAGCCTGCCAGGTGGGGAAAAGCAGTTGAGGAAGGCCTCCTGGACAAGAGGAAGCCTCAGCTGAGGATGGAAAGCCAGCAGGAATATGCTGGGCCAGTGCTTTAGGCAGATAGAGCATTCAGACCCAGCGGTTCTGAGGTGAAGACCTGCATGCTGTGTTCAGGGAACCACACGTCAGCTATTCTTGTTGGAGATGGAGAAGGGATACTGGAAGGTTATGGGGGCTTTGAGGTGGGTGGACTGGCATGGGTGACTGGAGGCCCATAAGGCTGGCTTCAGCTCCCTAAGTGCCATGTTTAACCCTGAGCGTTTTCTAGGTTTCTATGTTTTTTAGTTGCCAACATTTAAAAATTGGGAGCTTTCACCTTGAAAACTCTCAAATTGTTGGTTTCACTGTCTGGCTAATAGTTAGAGCTCTGGCAACGTGAGGCTCACATTCCCATAGTTTCAGCTGGAACTGAGTGGCAGCTGCCCCATTAGGTGAGACCCTAGTTCACCACAGTCTTAACTCCCTATTACCCACTTCTGCCTGCGACTTCACTCACCCCTTTCCTACTGGGCCTTGGGGCATCACAGGGTGGAGACCTGGCTATGGAGGTAATGGGCAGCTGCTGTGGAGTATTAAGAAAGGAAGTGAGCAATGTGATGGGATGTTTGTTTTGGAAAGATCATTAAGGCACATGAAGTTTCAGGGTTGAGGGACTTAAGATCACAAGGCCAATTAAAGAGCTATTGCTACAGCCCTTGTAAGAGATGACAGCTGGCCTGGGTCCGAGGCAGCAGGTGTCAAGAGGAAGGAACTGATTTTAAAATTGTTTCAAAACTTTAAGAAAATGCAAATTAATTTACAACCCACTATCAGTACACACCCCGCTACACACCCCAATAGGATGGCTGTATTAAAAAAGACAATAGCGAGTGTTGGCAATGTTGTGGAACTCTCATACACTGCTGGTGGAAAAGCAAACTGGTTTATCCACTTTGAAAAACAGTTTGATAGTTTCTGATGACATTAAACATATACCTGTCATATCACCCAGCAATCCCATAATTGGCTATATACCCAAGAGAAATAAAAGCATGTTCACATAAAGAATGTTCATATCAGCTTTATTCAAAACAGTCAAAAACTAGGAACAACCCAAGTGTCCATAATTCAGTGAATGGAAAGGAACTGTGGTATATCCATGCAGTAGGATATTGCCTGACAGCTGGCCGGATGGCAAGTGCACAACAAGGAAAAGTACTAAAAACAGTAAGTGAAAGAAACCAAACATAAGACCACATATGATTCCGTATATATGACCTTCTGGGAAAAGCAAAGTCATATTAGTGATTGCCAGAGGTCAAGGTAGAGGGCGGGGGGAGATAATTACCAGGAGCCACAAGTGAATTTTTAGGGATGATCAGTTCAGCTCAGTTCAGAGGTGGAATTGTTGGGTCTTGGAGATAGGGTGTAGGGCTGAGAGAGTAGTCAGAGAGGAAAACCTGGCTTGGTTTTTGACTGGGGACTTCTGCCCTTGGCCTGCCCATGAGGAGGCCCTTTAGAATCTGTTTCTGGCTGCCCTTCCCTGCCCTGGATGCTGCAGACACTGCCCACCTCCCCATCCCACATGGGCCTCTTCGCCTGGGTTCCAGTCAGGCTCTCCACTTCAGTTATGGTCCTTTGGGCAAGGGATTAGCTTATCTTAGCCTTGGTTCCATGTGGAGTGGGCTTTCAGTCTCCCGCTCCATGGCCTGCTCTCCCTCCACTCCCCTAAGCCCTCCTCTGTCTTCTCCCCAGCCCTTACCAGGACCAGAGATGTGCCAGAGGGTTCAAGTCACTACTGTCTCGTTGTGTTATAGAAAGCCACACTGCATTTAAGCCAAAGAGGACAATGTAGGGAGTTTCCTGCACCGTAGCATCTGAGGGGTCGCAGGGGTAAAGCTGGTCTCCGTACTGCAGGCTTGAGAGCTGGGGTGAGGCCTTGGCAGCCAGAGGGAGGCTCTCTGTCCCATCCCATTCCTCTGTGTCAGCTTCCTTCTTCCCATTTCACCTTCTGCTCTCCCACCACCCGAGGGGATGGCCCTCTGTCTCAAATCAAGTTTGAAAAACCCCCATAGGAGGACTCTAATAGCTCGCTCCCACCCCTGTGCTGGTCAGTCAGCCTCATATGAGGACATGGAAAGAGAAAGGGTAGAAAACAGTTGGGAAAGGCAGAAGTCTGGATTTTAATTTCCAGTGGTAAGAAACAGGGTGTCTGAGCTGGGGGCATAGCTGAAAGTATGGGAGCTGTATGAGAATGGGGAACCCATGGCCCCATGACTGAATGCAGTGATCCCCAGCCCTCCTCTTCCAGGTATTTCCCAGAGTACCAGTTGCTGGACCCTTGCTCAAACGCAAGGGACTAGAAAACTTTTCTGCAAGTCTGACCAACCCTGAAGACTAAAGGAAAGGCCTGACCCCCCATCTGCCCACAAGTCCCCTACCACATTGACCAGTGGTGAATCTCAGCATCAGAATAAGTGCCACTGTGTGCCCAAGACTGTTCCACCTACCTTGAATCTGACTGAACAGTCCATGGTCACATGGCAAAGAAAACGAAGACAAATTAAATAGAAAAACAGGCTATGTAGAGAGAAGGAAATTCCAACAGGAAAAAAAAAAATCTTTGCAGGCTTCAGAGGATATGAAAAAATATTGCTTCCTTGAAACAAGAACCACCATTAAAAAAAATTCAGCACAGAAACTATGTCTTGTGCTCTCAGCTGAGATGGCTTAGAAGTGATGACATCCCGGGAATAAGACACTCAAAGCCTAAATTTGTTTCTAATGCCATTCTCAAATAAAGGAAACCAGGGGTCCTTAGAGCAATGGCTGATTCTCGGGCAGGGTCTGGGAATATCCAAGATGAGCCTAGAGCAGGCTGTAGGCAAGACAGGAAGTGCTTCCAAAGCACATCCACAAACAAGGGGGCATGCCACAGGAGCCCACCGAAGGAGTCCCAGTAGCCATCGCTGGAAAATTTGAACAACAAAATAAGTAACCTAGTTCTAGGTTGTGACTCAAAGTATGAAAATTAATATCCATGCGTTTCATAGTAATAGAAATAGATGATTTAACAACAAAAAAGTGGGGAAGAACAGACAAATCTGTACTGAATTCCAAATAATTTATGTGGATACGTCCCTCCTATGGAGGTGAAGCATAACTCCCTACTCTTTAAGTGTGGGGTAGGCATTGTGGCTTACTTCTAAAGAGTTCACTATGAGAGTTGTGAATACCGTTGTGTATTTCATTTTTATATTATGTAGACATTAGAACTAATGCTTAGATTTCAGTTTGTATTGTTTTCTGTGTTTACTTTAACCTAATTCAAAATATCTGATAAGAAATTTGGCATGTGACTGAATTCTCAGTAACCTTGGAAATGAAGAGAACGGCTCATCATAGAGATGACCACTATGTGGTGGTGGTTGTCTGATTTCTAAATCTAAGCCATTTTCTCAAAACTTTGCTTCTCCCTTGTCTTTTTAAAAAAAAATTTATTAATTTTAATTGGAGGCTAATTACTTTACAATACTGTGTCTCCCTTGTCTTTCACTGAGGTTTTCCAAATACAATATCTTATTCATGCTGTCAGTAAAATTGGAGCTTATAAAAACCTAAAAATAAATAAATAAAGAGTTCAGTATGGAAAGCGGATTCCCCAGAAAGCCCTGGGGAATAGAGAATCTGACAAACACTGCCTCGGTCAGATGACCATGTTTAACATCACAGTGATAAGACATGTTGACAGTATGTACCCTTGATATGAAATGATGAGAATGGCATTTTACTTCTGGAGTCTTCCTCTCCAAAACACAGAACACCAGTCTTAACAATGAGAACCATGAGAATAGCATCAGACAAATACAAGTGTAGGACATTCTACAAAATATCCACCAATAGTCCTCAAAACTGTCAAAGTAATAAAAAACAAAGGAAGTCTGAGAAACTGTCATAGCCAGAAGGAGACATGTGATGTCCTTGAATAGGAAAAGGGAATTAGAGACAAATTATGGACATATGAATAAATCATGGGCTTTAGTTAAACGTATCAGAGCTAAAAAAAAAAAGAGCTCTTGGAAATTAAATCCTTTGGAAGAAATGAAAAATCTTGGTAGTAGACAGTTTGGGAGAGAAAACTGAAGAAACCTCCCAATTAGTAGCACAAAAAGCTAAGCTGAATCATAGAAAGGATAAGAAATTACAGGTCATTCTAGTAGCTTGACCTCTGTAGTCAAAATCTCTACCCCTGAGATATATGCTCCAGCAGCTTCACCTCTGAAAGGCTTGAGAAGCAAAATGAAGTCTTCAAGAAAGTAACTCAAGAGAACATCCAGACCTGACAGTTATGAGTAACCAGACTGAAGTCAACACTGAATGAAGAGAGCTCCAAGGCACCTTGTTGTGATATTTGATAACATAGGGACCAAAAGGAAGGAAATAAGGAGGTCACTGACACAGGTGTACCAGAGGGACTCTGGACTCCTCAGCCGCAATACTGAGAACATGATAAGGGATTGTTGCCTTTGTGATTCTGAAAGAAACCTTTTTATCTGACCTAGAATTATATAATTAGCTAAACCTTCAATCAAGTGTGAGTAATAAAGTCATTTCTAGACATGCTAGGCCTCAAAACATTTACCTCCCAGCATCTTTACTCAAGAAGGATGTGCTCCACTAGAACAAAAAAGAAAATTCAGAAGACTGTGAGACAGGAAGCAAGAGAGATGAGCGATGAGGTGGGACTTCCTGGAGGAAGATGAAAGGTGACCCCAGAGTGACAGCTCTGCTGCTGATGGGGAGGGCAGCTGAACCACATGGCCTGTCATCACCAAGACCCCCATTTCCATCAGGTCACCTTTACTTGAGGATAGAATGCTCAGGAGAACTGGCCCAGATTCTCATCAGCGCTTGCCTTGTCTTGACCATGTGTAAGGAGGGTCTCTCCTCTTAGGCTCTGCTGAGGACACACACATCACTCACAGGGGTTTTCAGCTTTTCCCCGAGAGCAGGAAGTAGACCACGGTGGGCTCAGGAGTAGAGAAGACAGAGCAGCCACTCTCACTGACCCGGCTTCTGCTGCATGTCCAGCACCTGGCTGACACCTCAGTCTGTGGAGGGCCCTGTTTCTCAAACCCACTCTTGGTTTTGCTTGCAAGTTCCCCAGAAAGGGCCTTGTCACCTCCCGGAGAAATGGAAGTCAGACCGTGCCCCAGGACTGCTCTGCTCACCTCCTCTGGGAGCCTCTGCCCAGCGGGGGCAGTGCTGCTCTTCCTGCATGGCTGGTGTGTGCTTGTCCTCTGATTTCAAGACTAGGTAGTAATTTTGTTTGAATATTATTATGTGAATATGATAAACAGAACTATAAAGAAAAGCAAGGGATCAATTAGTATGGAAGTGAGGATAGTCATCACCTCAGGAGTGAAGGATGAAATACATTTTTCTGGTTCCTGTTCAGATAAAGATGTTCTGGCTAGTTTGTAGTCTCCTAACCTCAAAAGTTGTTCTGATCATTGTTTGGTCAGGAGGACAGAAACCAGAGCAGGCATTTCCAGCAGAACTTACACCCTTGTTTATTTGTAAGAAGGGCAGAAGGAAGGTCTGAGACGGCCATCAGGCCCCTCGGGTTCCTGCCAGCTCTTCAGAAGTGGGATCCTGGAGGAGCCACAGGAAGCTCTGTTGGTGGCCAGCAGTGTGGAGCGCCGAGTGATGGGTGAGTTTTACGGGGCACTGCCACAGTGGGTGTATCAGTGCCGAGGGCCACAATAGGACCCCCCTATCTGCTTCTGCCAGAGCAGAAATAAGTGATATGAATTTCTCAATGAATAATACAATTTCTAAACTTTCAAATCTCCCAGGAGTGCTTCTCACTGGTGGAATTTAACTGGAAATGTAGTCCCCCGGTTTCCAACCCCCGTTATACAGGGGAGAGCCTAGAAGGAGATGGAAAAGTCACCGAATAGCCCACAGGTAATTCAGAACTAAGATCTGATGGTATTCTATAGCCCCACATATCAGTTAGTTGCCATGAAGACACCATTCGAGCTATCTGGGATAGCACTTTCATAGGGAGCCAAATTCCAACTGCAGAACTGCCTCTCTGCTTTCTATCTTCCTGCCTGATTCTATTAATAAAATTGGTAACTTTATAGGATCATTGGGGAAAAAAGTACAAATCTTGAGTTTCACCTCTGTATGCTGTGTGCAGGCTCTGGGCAGCCATCTCAAGCAGCATCTCGTGGCCCAACCCCCTCCAACATCTGTCGAGTGGATTCTCATTCCAGAGTTCCAAACCTCCTGCATTTTGTTCCACCCTAACACAGTCCTCATTTTCCTCCTAGAAGCATACAGGTCATGGGTATGGGGGCAATGCCAGTGGCTACCAAGAAACAGGGCCGCCCCCATGAGTTACTGCTCAGTTTGTTTTGAGGAGCCCTCAAAAAATATGTACACAAAAAGAACAAGATTAACACACACACACAAAATTTTACTGTTATTTATTGTCTTAAAATTGCATAGTACTTTGATTGTGCATGCTTTTAAATAGAGGGCAAGGTAGCCCACTTGAAACTATTCTCTTGCATGGGATTTTTTGGGCTGTTTTTACTATGGGCAGGAGCAGGGACCAAAATGCTGCCTGGGCTGAAAAAGAACCATGAGGAGATGAAAGAGAAGTTGGACAGTCGGAGAGATTTAGATGAGAAGACACTGTTGAAAAGAGCTGCGGTGTGGTAGACCTGTGGAGGCATAGGAAGATGGTGGGAGGGAGCTTCCCCGAGGTCAGGGCACAGGACTCAGTAGCAGCCGAGAGAGGATGGGACAGGAGAAAGGAGTCCAGAGGGGCAATGCCTGGCACTCAGATCTGAGATGAACATTCCCTGCCAGGGGGCTGGGTGCCTGAGGGCACCGTTGGCTACAGAAAGCCACGTACTAGAAAAATAACTTAAAAGCTATACAACTGTCATTATAAATACTTTGTCTTTAACTAGTGTTGGTTAAAAAAGGTTCACAGTTACTCTGAAGAGAGCTGTATCTCTATTGCACGGTATTGGAAGAGTCTGCTCAGATCCCCGTGTGTAAACAATGATTCCCTTCTCCTCTGGCAACTTCAGGACACAGAGAAAAGACTACCTGCTGTAAGCAAAGCACTTGGGTACAAGGCACATCGAAGCTGTCAAGCTCTATCGGGATCTACTGAGAACACGCCCAACGCCAGCTTTTCTTCCCACTTGGTTTCACTGGGACAGGTCTTCAAGGTGGCAGTGGTCTCCTCTCCGTTCTCATTCCACAGTTACAGACTTGGCCAGATTTCTGGGGAAGTCAACCTACAACAACAGAAAGTAGCTGCTCAGACCCACAGATCTCAGCAACACAGTATTGTAAAGCCAGCTCTCAAAGTACTTTACAATAGGAAGATGAATATTCCTGGGCACCTCCAACCATGAGCTCCTTGAGACCTGCATCTTGGAAGGGATTTCTTATTCTAGAAACAATTATGTTTATACAGTAAACGTTAATGGTGCACCTGATATGTGTCATGCAGTGTTAACACTATTAAAAGGATATGATTCATGCTATTAAAAACAGCTAGCTCAATTTGTACTGTTAAAAATTCACTTTTCTTGGAAGTACACACACTAAAATATTGGTTAAGGGTGGGGCTTGGGAAGGAAATGTGACTGAGGATGGTAAAGTGGGCTTCAAATTTATCTACAGGATCTTATTTTGTTTACAATAATGTTAAAGAAGAGAAGAAACAAATGTCAATAATGGATGATGTATGTACCATCGGATGTTTGTTATATTGTTTTTGGTGTTGATATGTATTTTTTAAAGCTCCTCAGAACAAAATTGTAATAAAACTTCTATCTGCACACACACTTCCTGGTGAGATGATAAATTGGTTCTTTTCTGGAACAGAAATTGAAATAGGAATCCCAAAATGTTGAATGATTTGCTAGATTGAGGATAAACTTTCTAATATGGGAGGAAGATGTACATATGCACAAAGATAATTCACTGCAATTGTTATTTATGCAGATATTCCAAAAGATTAGAAACAGTTTAACCAACAGAAGACTGATTAAGTCACTGTTAAAATCTATGTTATAAGACTGTGGTGGAATATTGTGCAATGATCAAATGCTGCTTACGAGTTCAAGATCTCAGAACTTGTATACACTTGTAATGTATTAAAAAGAAAGTTGTGAAATTTCATCCTTGATATTATCTCAAAAAATCTTAAAAAATTTACAGGCACAAGGAAAAGACCAAACTAAGATATTAAATTTGCTCATCAAATTGCCTCTGGGTGAGAAGCTTATGGTTTAATATGGTCTTCACACATCTTGCAGTTCCTGTCGTTGTTTTCAGGGGATAAGAGTTACTTTAAAAAATTATTTTAAATGAAAATATTTCCCTTATGAATATTTATACCCAATAAGTATTTAAGAGCCAAATGGAACTCTGGGATTATGTCTCTCCCCTTTGCTGGATGAGGTGCAATTTTTAGACGTACGTCATATCCTCGGAGTACAGCCAGGTGGAAGGAGAGGAGCTGCAGTGGAATCACACTCAGGATGCCCTGCAGGCAGTCCACGGTGTGGGGCAGCTCGATCGTTTTATATGCGAACTTGGAGCTCTCAGTGTCGTCCTTGGAGCAGAGTATAATCGGGCGACCCTAAGACAGAGAAATGTGATCACAGATGCAGGTCATCTCTGAAAGGAGCAATCATCACACACAGCAGTTTCTAAGATCAACATATTGCAATAATAACAGTGATCTTTTGTCTTTGCTGGAGTTATGGGTCAGGTGAGGTATCTGATTTGTGTAAAGGTCAAAGGGTTTGGAGGCTTTTGTCAAAAAGGTTCCTATGCTTCCGTGGTTGTGGTGGTGGGGCACCCTCATGCTGCATTAATTCAGCACCCATTTATTGAGTGGCTTCAGTGTGCCTTGCAAAGAGCAGGAGTTCTTACCCCTTACTCTAGGGGCTCATGGTCAAGTGGTAGGAAAACAAAAATGTCAATAAGCAAACCAATAAATAGCAGTGAATTTCCGATAAATGTCACCATGGCAGTAAAACCCTGTAACATGATTGGGAGACAGTGGGAAGGTTTGAGAAGTTCTCTGAAAAGGAGGCATTTGTAGTGAGACCTGAATGATGAGAGGCCAACTGCTGGAAGAAAGGTGGGAAGACTGTTTGGGGCAGAGGAAGCAGCCTGTGTTTTCCAAGTTCTAGTGGACTAATGAAACTGGAGGTGGGGGGTGGTTTCAGTAATGGAAACTCCTGAATTTGGATCCAGTTGGTTAGAAATGTGGGTGGGCTGGGAAGCTGAAAGATTGCAGTTGGTGGCTGACGTGAGGGTGGTCTTGTAGAGGACAGAGTCCTTCACCTAAATCTAACTCTGGGTGGCCAATATCAGAACTGCTCTCCAGGGATCTCCACCAGACCTCCTTCGGTCTCATGTTTCGGATCCAGGACCCCTCCGGGTCATCTGGATCACTGGGCCTCACCTAGGAGCTTCTGTGGGCATGGCTGCAGGCTGGCCAGTCCCTTTCTGAATGTGCACCATGCGTGAGGGATCCCAGAAGTGTGTGCTCACACCTGCTCACCAGCAGGAACGAACACTCATTGCTGGTACTGGCCAACAGTGGGTGAGGTGGGCATGAACGGAAGAGAACAGGAGAGAAGTGACCCAGCCTGGCGGAAGGCCTCACCTGGCGGGCTGTGACCTGCTGCAGGGCGTTCTGGCATTTGGCAAAGCAAGGATCCTTCATGATGACCATGATGACAGGCATCTGCTTGTCAATCAGTGCCAGGGGGCCATGCTTCAACTCTCCAGCCAGGATGCCTTCTGAGTGCATGTAGGTTATCTCTTTAATTTTCTGGGGAAACATGAGGCAGAATCAGTGTCATGCTGCTAATGGGAGCAGATCATCCAGTGGGGAGAAAGGGAAGCCAGGGAAAGGATGATCCAGGAAGTAGGGAGCTGAGGTCCACAGGCAGATGGACACACTGGAGTGGTCAGTGGTACTGGGGGCAGCCAGTGAGGCCAGGCCCAGGGAAGAGGGTTACCTGGTGTCTAGAGCACGCACAAAGCCTAGCACACAGCTTGTGTCCTCAGTCGCTAGCTCTGGGGCACAGCCATCCTGCCCCCACCGTGATGGGCAAGTCAGTATCAATCTAGCTTTTCCCCTTTCCTTTTGAGCCAGCCCCATGGTTTCCCTAACAGTCAGAGTTTGTAATGATGGCATTGTATTCTACACCTTCATTTAATTATCTGATTAACTAATCCCTCAATTCTAGATCATTAATAACTTCTAAAGTGTTGCTCCAACTTAACTATCAAGCAAAAAGACACACACTGGGGTGTTAATGGAGTTTCCCCCTATGTTTAGAGAGATCCATTTTTTTTTTTTCCCCAGTTACCATTAAAACCCATGTCACTGAACTGGTGAGAGTGTTGAAGAAAACATTTGTCAACTCCCCTAGAACTATTTGGGTCAGGGAAACATTGTTAGAAGTGTGGCTCCAACCTGGATGCTGCAGACAGCAGAAGTACTGTACCCAAGCGACCACAGAGGGGCCACGGACTTGTGCCAGCAGCAGTGTAAAAGCTTCTTTCTTTCCTCCAGGACTAACTTGGAGACATAGTTGAACATGCATCTTTCACCAGCACACTCAGGAGCTGCAGCTGAGCACCCCACACTAGACAGCAGAGGATAGCTGTGGGGTACCGAAAAGGCGCCCCGCCCGAGCAACGAGCCTATTGCTCCTGAGCAGCTGTGTGCTTGGCCTCTCACAGGTGCAGAATCTCCACTGGAAGGATGTGGGAGCTGAAGCTTACTGCAATCAGGCAACTCATGGCTTGCACCTCACCCCAATTCCCTACCTCCTATAATACTGTTTCCCGCCAGTGGCATCATTATTCCAACTGGGCGCAGTGGTGGGGTATAGGCACTTGCTCCACAGGGAGAGGAGGGGGTTCTAGCTGAGTTATAGATGCTGCCGCCCTTCTGACACTGTCTCCCATTTACCTTGCTTGATCATCTGATCCACAAACAGCAAGTGGAGAGTGAGTAAGCCAAGCTCTAGGCTCGGGTCTCTGTACATCTCTTTCCACCCTCTTAGTAGCCCTGTGGTCTTGGTATCTTGCCCCTACTCCATCAGCTTTCTCTCAAGCCACATCTTTATTGCTGCAGTGGGCAAAACAGCCAGTCATTGATATAAAAACTGCATGGCTTTCTATGCTTATCTCCTGTAGGATCTCATCTCACCTCAGAAGATTGAGGAGTAACACGGGAAACTTTGTAAAGACTTTACCCTGCAGTTCTGGTCTGCCCAAATCCTCCCACACAGACTTCTTGTGGTAATAGAAAAAAGCAAAGTGTTTGTTTTTTTTTTCAACTGAGTTTGAATTTCAGGTTGATCACTTCTACTATGTAATCTTGAGCAAGGTGAATTTTTTGGAGGCTCCATGTCCTCCTGGGTCAAACGTGAACAATAACTGCCAGTCTCTCAGAAGATGCTCGTGAGGTTTGAATGGGCTATCCCAGATAGCGCCTGGTGCAGGCTCACACCCCAGGGCTCTGGGCCCTGCCCCTCTCTGCAGGAGAGACCTGCATCTCCCTGTCAGCAGGGCTAGAACACTGGGTCAGAGAGACACCCTCCCCGCCCCCAGCCCAATGCCCTGCCCTCCTTCCTGTAGTTTCCTGAGGTGTCTCCCGCGCCTGCCCTCGCTCAGGGCCCGGTGGAGGTGGGGATTGGGCAGAGGGTGCTCACCAGGGCTCCTTCCAGGCACGTGGCATAGTTGTAGCCTCGCCCCATGACCAGAAGCGACCTCTGCGTGTAGAGCTCCAGGGCCAGGTCGTGGATCTTCTCATCCAGGGACAGCACTTCCTTGATCAGCTCTAAGTCAAGCACACAGCAGAGTGGGAGAGCCAGTCACACCAATTATACAGCAAGATTCACAGAGAAAAGTCATGGTTTCCGAACTCACAGCGCTTACACACTTGTCTCCCTTGCATTAGTTTAAAAGAATTTTAAATGCAGATTATGGGAAACAGCTTGTGTTATCGGGTGGGATTTTATTGTGACGGTGATTTGTATTTGTGTTCATATTTTCCTGACCACATAAGGTAAGCAGGGAAGTGTTATTTCTAGCTCCATTTTACAGGCAAGGCAACAGAGGGTCAGTGAGGCTAAATCTCCAGCTGGCCAGCCAGAGCTGACACTCCAGATTAATACCCCTTATCTGGCCATGTGCTATGTCTGGAAAAAAAGCCTGTGAGATGGACCAGCACTCCTCAGACTCTTTGGTCTCAGGATTCCTTTATAATCTTAAAATTTATTGTGAATTTCTAAGAGCCTTTATTTTTGTGGGATTTATCTATCAATATTTACCAGATTAGAAACTGAGAAAATTAATCACTCATTTAAAAATAACAATAAACCCATGAAATTTAAAAAAAAAAAAAACAGTGAGAAGAGTGGCACTGTTTTACATTTTTGTAAATCCTTAATGCCTGACTTTTTCATAGAAGACAGATTCTCTTATCTGTTTCCTCATTCAATCCATTGCAATATGTTTTTTGGTTGAAGAAAATCTGGCCTCACAGATTTGTAGCTGGAGAAAGAAAGAGTATCTAAATAAATTTTTCAAATAATTGTGAATGTCTTTGATATTACGCCAAACTTAAGAAGTGACAGTTTCTTAAAACATTAAGTGCAAATGTGGTATCTGAGATCATATCAATAAAAATTTCCTACTTTGTCAACTTAAAGTGTATTAGTCCATTGTGTACTTGCTTAAGTGGATCTTTTACTTGTGCATAATCTTGTAACACTGCATTGGCCATTTGCAAAATATTGATTCACTGGATTATTCAAATCTTCCAAAAATGGACACATTATAAAATTTTTTTTTAAAAAAAAATCAGACTTGTTAAAATCACTGTGAGCTTATCAGAGATGTTTTTGAGTATTGGGAGGTCGTCACACTTGAGCTGACAGCTGCAAGTTTTCCAGATCCTGTTTCGGTTGAAAGCTCAAAGGTTATCACTGGCAATGGATACTATCATCAGCTTTTCTTGACGTTTTGGGCTAAGTTGGTTCACTTTTGAGAAAATGTCTGCCAAGCAACAAGTCAGCGTGCTACTCAGTCAACCACAGGGCACTTTTCTCTGGAACAACCGTCGGACTTCAGGGTGCAGCAGAAGCACTTTCTGCATAAGTCCCATTTGTCACATCGAATATTAAAAAATGTTACAATTTAGTACGATTAATGCATTTTGCCACATAATCAAAGACATTGATAAGTGAAGTTGTTGCATTTTGGTCATGAGAACATTGTACTGCCTCAGCCCTGAAGAGTGCTGAAAGTGCCAGTGGGCGGCCACTGTGATGTACTGCAAATGTCCACACGGCAGGAAAGGCAGAGCATCTTATTTAGCATGAATACCATGTTACTACAAAAATAGTTTTCACTGAAAGGGTCTTTTAGACCCCCAGGATCTTTGGGTCACATCTTGGTAACTGCCCACTTACCAGAAGAGAGTCCTGTTCTTGCAGGATTATTACCTGGCTTAAAGTTAAAATGCTTTTTCTTGTTAATAAATTTGTAGAATGTTGTCTTGGTCAGATCCAGACCTTGAGATCTCGTATGGTTACACAGTGGTTTTCCCTCACTGCCTTCCCTTTGCCCTTGGTTGCAGAGGAAAGTCTGGTAAGACTGGGAACAGCCCCGCCCAGCGGAGCCTTGGGGCCGTTCACTCCCATGTGTTTCCTGAGCAACTTCTGACTGTCTGCCCTGGCTGGACACCTGGGCACCAGCAGCGGCTCTGACACACAGGCTTGGTGCTCACGAGGTTGACACGGTTGGGGAAGACAGGCCAATACACGGAAGAACAGGTACTTTCAAATCACGGCTCGTGCTATAAAGAAAAGGAATGGGTTCCTGCTTATAGAGAGCTAAGCAGGGGACTGGGCTTCCCTGGTGGCTCGCTGGTAAAGAATCTGCCTGCAATGCAGGAGACCCGGTTCGATCCCTGGGTTGAGAAAATCCCCTGGAGGAGGGCATGAACTCTTGCCTGAAGCATTCCATGCACAGAGGAGCCTGGAAGGTACAATCCACGGGGCTGCACAGATTAAGGCCCCTGCGAGGGTTACCAAGGAGGGTCTCAGGAGGCGACTTTTCAGCTAAGACTTGGGTGACGGGAGCTGTCTGTCATATGAAGAGCTGGAGGAAGAGGGTTTTGGTAGAAGAAAGAGCCAGTACAAATGTCTTCCGGTGAAAAGCGCTCGGCATTGCTGAAGATCAGAAGGTTGGTGAGGGAGGCCCCGGAGGGGAAGGGAGCTGGCAAGGGTCAGAGGCACAGGGGCCCAGCGTGCAGGGCTCCAAGGCCTGAGGACAAGTGCGGACTGGAATCCTGGCCCAGTGCGGGGGCTGCTACAGGAGTTTAGCAGTAAGTAGAAGTTTTGAGGAGAAGGGAATGATGAACAGAATCATTTACGGAGAGAGTCAGGCAAAGGAGCAGCCAGGAACAGTCCACAGGATTTGACAACGAGCAGGTGGGTTCTGGAACATACCGGGCAGAGATTTCAGGCCATGGATGATCTCTCGCCTTCTGTTTTGCAGTGAAATGCGGTCTTCAGACATCATCAGACCAAACATCACCAAGGAGATGAACTGACTGGTGTAAGCCTGAGGACAGAAGAGTGGTGCTAGCAGAACTGGGGCGATGTGCATGTGGTGACCGCTCAAGATGAGACAGATCCCGGGGCTCCCCTCCAGGGCTCCCCTCCGCTCCCCACCCAGCAGAGGCCCTCCTGTGGGTGCCCACGTGGCCCCTACCTTCGTGCTGGCCACACCGATCTCCGGTCCTGCGTTGATGTGGACGCCGCAGTCGGTCTCTCGGGAGATGGAGCTGCCCACGGTGTTGGTGATGCCCACGGTCAGAGCTCGGCGGTCCTTACAGTAGCGCAGTGCCAGGAGGGTGTCTGCAGTCTCCCCTGCCATACAGATCCTTCTTTTCAGTTCACAGGTATGTGGCTCTGCCAGCCTTAACCTCCACCCCTGACTCATTTACTTCTGGCTCTTAGGCAGAAATTGGTGCCCAGACAGTTTGTGTGTGTTTAGAAAGGAAAATGTGTGGTCAGCAATTTTTTCTAGTTGATTATTTTCTTTTTTTTTTTAATGTAAGATGTTCTTTATTAGCACAAGCTGGAATTAAGATTGCTGGGAGAAATATCAATAACCTCAGATATGCAGATGACACCACCCTTGTGGCAGAAAGTGAAGAGGAACTAAAAAGCCTCTTGATGAAAGTGAAAGAGGAGAGTGAAAAAGTTGGCTTAAAGCTCAACATTCAGAAAACTAAGATCATAGCATCTGGTCCCATCACCTCATGGGAAATAGATGGGGAGACAGTGGAAACAGTGTCAGACTTTATTTTTTTGGGCTCCAAAATCACTGCAGATGGTGACTGCAGCCATGAAATTAAAAGACGCTTACTCCTTGGAAGGAAAGTTATGACCAACCTAGATAGCGTATTAAAAAGCAGAGACATTACTTTGCCAACAAAGTTCCATCTAGTCAAGGCTATGGTTTTTCCAGTGGTCATGTATGGATGTGAGAGTTGGACTGTGAAGAAAGCTAAGCGCTGAAAAATTGATGCTTTTGAACTGTGGTGTTGGAGAACTCTTGAGAGTCCCTTGGACTGCAAGGAGATCCAACCAGTCCATCCTGAAGGAGATAAATCCTGGGTGTTCATTGGAGGGACTGATGCTGAAGCTGAAGCTCCAATACTTTGGCCACCTGATGTGAAGAGCTGACTCATCTGAAAAGACCCTGATGCTAGGAAAGATTGAGGGCAGCAGGAGAAGGGGATGACAGAGGATGAGATGGCTGGATGGCATCACCGACTCTATGGGCATGAGTTTGGGTAAACTCTGGGAGTTTGTGATGGACAGGGAGGCCTGGCGTGCTGCGATTCATGGGGTTGCAAAGAGTTGAACACGACTGAGCGACTGAATTGAACTGAACTGAATGCCAGAGACACAATTAGCACTTAGATCTTGAAAAAAGGAGAACTCTTTAGTCTTAAAAGTAAATAGGAAAATAAAACATTCATGGGGATTTGGATTCAAAGTTTGAAATTAATTTATCACTTCTCATTTTACTGTTTAGTGTGAAGTGCATGTTCTAGGGATGCTGAAACCTTGATCATGAAAATTGGTAAACTATTCAACTGGAAGGGGCCTCCACATGGGGACTGCCACCGCGGAGGCATATGGGAATCACTTCATCACTTGGGTGTTTAGTAATGCAGTTAGTGTGGTTCACTGTGATCATTTCTGTAATTAGAAGATGAAAGCTGACTCGTAAGTGGAACTAATTTGGAAGGAATTTATTAAAAGTTTGTGTGTGGTTGAATGTTAAACGAACATTTAAATCCCACAATTGAGGTTTTCATGAAAAATATGTGAGACAAGTTTTTCTAAAAATGGCTTAAGATTCAGGATGGGGAACACATATAAATCCATGGCTGATTCATGTCAATGTATGGCAAAAACCACTACAATATTGTAAAAGAATTAGCCTCCAACTAATAAAAATAAATGAAAAAAAAATGGCTTAAGCCTCTCTTGTCCCTGGTCTTCTCTAATTTTTCTTGAATCGTAAGACAGAGTGGTTTATACTTACTCTTCTGTTATCTCACTTCCCATTTTCTATTTAACCCACTCTGTCTGGCCTTGTGCCCTGGTGGATTCTCAGATTCAAGATTTCGCTATTATTTATGTGACAAGTAGTTTCTCACCCACTGTCCCACTGAATTCTCATGACAACTCCTCCCCAATGGGAGGCATCACCTCCATTTCCCCTTTAGAATGAGGTGTTCAGAGATGGAGGAAATAAACGCCTCACTTGCTCAAGGCCAATTAGCTATGGGTGATGGAGTAGGCCTGGCTTGGGCCTGGCTCCCAGTATTCTTTTTTGGACTTTAAATAATCTCATTCAGAATGGGCTGAAATTTAATATTTAAAAAGCAAGAATGACCCTAAATGGTGCTTCTCAAACAGATCTTGTTTTAAAGGAAAACATTTCTGTAGCCTCCAAGTGTGGACTCAAATTATTTTTATTAAAAAACAACTTAAATAGGTTCATGCATAAAACAGCAAGAAGTCCCTGCTGGTTAGTCCTAAAGAACTCAAGTGAAATTAGATATGATCCAGAACATAAAATCAAACATTCAATGTCCACACAGCCAGCACTCTTGGCTCTGCCATCCTAACTTTGTTCTAGTGCAGGCTGGTGCAACTGTGGCCCACTTCTCCTTTCCTGTTTCCACTCAGACTTGCATCTAGCACAATGGGCCACATGGCCCTTTCTCAGCACCGGTAGGGGCCAGGGCTGGGAGTTGGGGACATATCTATATTCATCAGTATCCCCATTTTTGATAGTTTAAAAATTTTTAATGTAAAGAGCTAAACAAAATGAAACTTTAAACTCCTTCTATGAAGTCACTCATGAGGTACCACTGCATTATTTCCACACTAAATGCACCTCCATTCTTTGGTTAGTGGCTTCCACCAATTCATGAAACATTTTTAGGCTCTGACAGAATTATAAACCCAAAGGTAAGCGGCAACTGAAGTTAGAGGGCAGCACCTGGGAATGAGGTGGTCAGCTAGATAGTGGGTATGTCAGTGTTAGTTTTTCTTAGCTTGTCACTGAAATGTAAACACTATTAATAATTCATGCTGAAAACAGCATAAAGAGATATTAAGGCATTCTGTTAATGCTGCAGTTGTGATAATGACACTGTTGTTATATTTTTTCTTTTATCATTTACAGATACATTCTGAAATATTTATGGATAAAATAACATGTTTGATACAGACTTTTAAATAAGCCAGTGAAAGAGAGGGGTTAAGGTGGCTATGATGGGGGGTGAGCTATTTCATAACATAACTGCTTAGGCTAGGCGCTTCCTCGTGTGAGACTCTCTTCTATAAAGGTTTGGAATTCTGCATAGTTAAGTGTTATAAGAATTCTCCCAGAGCTCATGCATATGAGTTCCAAGCACACGGCTGTGGATCACCTCCCGGACCCTCTGTCCTGCCTTGAGCTGGAACAAATGCTCCAGAACGTTAGAAAGTCACCCTGGCAGGGTTTCCTGAGCTGAGAGAGGGTAGCCTGGATTCTCTACATGTGAAGAGTGTCTATGCCTCCAAACGCTGGACTGCGTGAGTACTGCATGGTGCCCAAGCAGTTCTCGAAGGGACTATCAACCAGGAGCATTAAGCTTTCCTCTAATTTAAACCCAACACACATTTATGAGTACCTCGGTGAGGGGGCTCTTAAGTCCTGGACTTGGAATGTCAGGAGAAGGAAAAACTTTGCTGCATGGCCCTCCTCATAAAACGGGACAGTAGTTGATGACTCTGAGGGTTAAGTGACTCTGAGCCTCAGAGCATGTGGTGCACAGTCTGTGCAGAGAACATCGCTGGATGAAGGAGGGGGGGAGCTGTGCAGTACCTCACTGGGAGGACAGAGCCCTGAGGTGAACTAATGGAAACCTATAGCGCTTACCTGACTGGCTTATGAAAAAGCAAACGTCATCCCTGAACACAGGTGTGTTCCTGTCCAGAAAATCACTAGCAAGTTCAACCATCACAGGGAGCTCGGTCAGTTCCTCCAAAACTTGCCGCGTCTAAAGCCAACAAAAATGGGGACTAGAGTCAGTTACAGACACTACAGGGACAAAGACAGCTGAGCTTCTAAGACATCGCTACATACAGGTGGGCAGGGAAATTCAGGCATTCACAGGCTGAACTGCAGAAGAAACGGCTCCATGCCAGTTCTCATACTGGCTCATGGCAACAAATTTGGAAGCCCAAACCCAGGACAGGATCTAAGACTCATCATGCCGTAGCCGACACTGCCTCCTGGGCACTATCGAGGGTCGAGCTTGTCGCACTTACGGCCACAGCAGCATGGTAGCTGGTCCCACAGCCAATCACAATGAGCCGTCGGCATCGTCTGATCTCCTTCAAGTGGTCTTTCAAGCCACCCAGGAGCACTGCAGGACACATGCAGGGCATTAATGCTGACATGAAGCAGGGACCACGCATGGGCCTAGGGCTCGGATGAGGGATTACCTGTGTTGGTCTCAAAATTCACTCGACCTCTCATGGTATTGAAAACTGATTCTGGCTGTTCAAATATCTCCTTCTGCATAAATGCACTGAAGTTACCTGGTCAAACAAGCATCAACAAGATGAGTCAATTTTAATTTTGTTACACTATCACTGCTTAGCTTTTAAGAAAAGTTATGCAGTCACAGGGACATGTATAAAGGCCACTACAGATTACGAAGGGTATCTCCAGGTATTGTCCCATCTGAGACTCACGGTGACAAGTCGGGTCAGGTATGCTTACTGTCTTCACTGTGCATATCATACCCTGCAGCTTGAAGGAGGGAGGGATGTAAGCAACAAATGCGTGGCCGGCCTTCCTGGGCCATGCTCCTCTTGGCAAGGCCACAAGAAAGCCCCATGCTTTCCTTCCTTCTACACTCCTACTTAGGAAAGTACGCATGAAGCAAGTCCAAGGAAATAGGCCACTTTTTAAAACCAAATACACTCCTAACTTCTGTATTGAAATGAAAAGCAAAAAAACCTTTTGAGCCACGTATTTCTAGGGCTCTGATGTGAATGAAACCAGATAATATCCCAGGCATCCTGACAGGTGTTATGCCTGATGCCTGTCAACAGGTGTGCAGATGGGGTGAGTGTCCTCTGTGACACACAGATGCATGATGTCCAGCATTGCAGCGTCCTTGTACGCTGCCCTCGGCGGAGGACTTGTAGAAAGAGTGACATGAAGCAAACAGAGCAGGTGAGGAGAGGTGGGGCCGAAGCAGATACAGATCAGAGGAGGGCCCTCTGAGGGAGCGACGTTTCAGGGGAAATGACCAAAAGAAGCCGGTCCTGTGAGAAGCTGAGTGAGCGGCCCCCTCAGGTAAGCAAGCACTCGGCTTGTCTGAGGAACGGCGAGGAGGGCGGGATGGGTGGACAGAGGCATAGTGAGAGAGGGTTGCATGAGGTGGTGCCCGGCCGGGTGTGGGTGGCTGTGGGCTGTTGCTGGGAGTGTGGGTTTTATTCAAGGAGCAGTGGGAAGCCATCGGGCGGCTTTAAGCGGCAGGATAAAAGGGTAGGATTTGCGCTCTTATGAGTTTACCCAGGTGGCCCTGTGGAGAAGCGTGTGCAGAGAGACCAGTGTGGGGGCAGGAAGATGGGCTCCCCTGGTGAGGAGAAAGCAGTCCTGTTTACCACAGGCCCGTAGGAATGTGTCCTAGAGAGTTCTGAAGGGAGGTAGTTGATGGACTGAGGTCAGACCAAGCAGGAAGACCTGGTGCCTGGACACAGTCAGACATTCCCTGTGGAGTAGCCAGGCCGGGCACCTCACATTCCCTGAGCTTCATGAACCACAGACCACCTGCGGCCCCACCCCAGTGCTTAGAGCAGGCAGGAAGGCTGTGGTGCCCACCCTGGACTGGGAAGAGAGTCTCCCCCACAGAGTACCTGCCCCTGAGGTTGCTGCACGGGGACTCTCAAAAGACACTTGCCTTTCATGATTTGCTGCAATTCCATCTGCAAGGTCTGGATGGCTCGAGATGGGTCATCACTAGCCAAACGCTTGACCCGGTGAATAGAGAGCTTCCCATCAGCCACTGCGGCAATGTCATCATCCTCAAGGAAGATGACCCGGTTGGTGTGCTCTATGATAGCACTGGAGCAAGGAAAACATGGGTGTCAGAGACAGGGCCCACCCTTGAGAGTTACAAGATGGCAGTTACTCACTGCGTCTCAACTGTGGGTCCGTATCAGCAGCACCGAAGAGCACTTTGCCATATACCATATTTACACTAATTCATACCTCCTGCCCCTTCCAGCCCCCAGAACTACTTTGAAGCCAGCCCCAGACATCAAATCATCTGTAAACCTTTTGGTTTATAGCTCTAAAAGATAAGAATTATTTTGTAACCCTACTCTAATACCATTATCACATCTTAGAGTAATAGTTATTCCTTCGTATCATCAAATATCCAGTAGGTTCAAATTTCCCCAATAATCTCATAGATGTCCTTTTATAATTGTTTTCTTCAAATCAGGATCCAAACAATGTCAACTGTGGAGAATGTTCAAGAACTAACATATTATTCTGAATCATAAAGGGAAAGTATGAAACATTTATCTTGCCTTTCCAAATGATCTGTCTTTCAGAGTAACCACATTTTAAGAAGACAAGTTTCTCTTTATGGGAGGTAAATACAGCTAATAAGGAATGACAGAATTATAATAATCAACCTATGAACTTATAACTGTTAATAGCTGTAATCAAGGTCTATCAGTGGCTACTGACACGAAGAGATGAAAATCTCAGAGCAGCTTTATAATGGATGAATAAGGCCGGTGATATTGATTTTAACAGTACTACAAAAGGACAATGAAACATAGAGCCTCCTGATGGAAGTACACACTACCTATTAAATAGTCTTGCCAAAAAAAAAAATCAGACCTGATGATCAAGTTTCTAGATAACTGTAAACTCCTGTTTGCAGGAAATACAGAAGACCATGGAGGAGGCACACAACAAAATCCACTTAGTGGGAAACTCCTTCGGACAAAGGACTCCCCTTATACACACACACACATGCAGGCAAGGCAAGGAAGGGACTTGCAGGTAACTGTAAGATCTACCCATTAATGAAATGTGCAGTCACTGTGTTTATTTTTATATTAACTTTCTCTGTGTGGAAAGTAATAACGATTTTTCCCTTGAGATGGTAAATGAAAAAGAAAGCTAAGCGATAGGACAGGTGGTACACAGATATGGTAAAAGCCATGAGAATGGGCTTTCCTGGTGGTTCAGACAGGAAAGAATTCACCTGCAAATGCAGGAGATCCCTGGGTCAGGAAGATCCCCTGGAGAAGGGAATGGCTACCCACTCCAGTGTTCCTGCCCGGAGAATTCCATGGACAGACTAGTCTGGCAGGCTATAGTCCATGGGGTTGCAAAGAGTTAGACATGACTGAGCGACTAACACTTAACACTATGAAGGTGGTACTTGAAGGACCATGAGAGAAAAAAATGCTCATTCTGCCTAGTGCTACACCAATATGTACCCTGTGCAGAAAAATGAGCATTTAAAACTGCTGATACAAAGTTAAAAAGAGAAAACAATCAAGTTTATGGCTCTAAGAGAGGCATCTCCAGATCCTAGCGAAGAAAGATAAAGTAGGATGGAAAGCCGTTGCACTAGAAAAAATATTTTAAACAATATATGTTCTTTGAATGAAAAGCAGAAAACACAGTCAACAACAGGAAGAAGTAAAAATGGCCTGATTCAATCTCCAGTAAAGAAATACTGCTTACACTGTACTTTCCTTCAGACAGGGTTTAATATGTGTGCTTGATTTACGTGTGCATGTAATCTGCATGTTCAAATATAATGACTGTTTTAATTTACAGAATGGATGGGGAGTCATCAAGACTACAGGTCCAGGAGTTAGACCTGAGGTGGAGTCCTCATCTCTGTCTCTTACCAGCCTGTGGCCTTGGACAACACAGACACGACCCCTCTAAGCCCATCTTGGGTTCCTCAACTTCAAAATGGAAGGTGACCACTGTGCCTCCTCTAGAGGTCTGTTGTGACGACTACAAGGGAGTCTTGGTAAAGCCCTCCTCACAGTGTCCAGCTGTCAGTGCACAGGGCAAGCTGGTCACTGTTGTCACGAGAGCTCCACAGCATGCCTTCATATACCAGAGGGTCACCTCCGTCACTCTTATGTTCCAATATGTTCTGTTTCATCTATACACACAGCACGCTGTAGAATCACTTTTTCAAGTTCCAAAAACTTACACAAACAAAAGAATGTCAAAGATTTAATGATAGAATTGAATTTACAGATTAATTTAAGAGTAAATTTCTTTAAAAATAATTTTAAATTATTAAATTAACTGTAAACCAATTAATGTCTTCATAACAACATTAAGCCTTCCTACCAAGAAATGTGGTAATCTCTCCCTTTATTCAAATCTCTTCTTGTTTCTCATGGTAAGCTTTTGCAGTCTTTTCCAAATAGGTTTTGAATTATTTTTATTTAAATTTATTTTAGGACCGCACTGGTAGCTCAGCTGGTAAAGAATCTGCCTGCAATGCAGGAGACCCTGGTTCAATTCCTGGGTCAGGAAGAACCACTGGAGAAGGGAAAGGCTACCCACTCCAGTATTCTTGGGCTTCCCTGGTCGTTCAGACGGTACAAGAATCCACCTGCAATGTGGGAGACCTGGGTTTGATCCCTGGGTTGGGAAGATCCCCTGGAGAAGAGAACGGTTACCCACTCCAGTATTCTGGTCTGGAAAATTCCATGGACTGCATCGTCCATAGAGTTGCAAAGAGTCGGACATGACTTTCCTACCAAGGAATGTGGAATCTCTCCCTGTATTCAAATCTCTTCTTGTTTCTTATGGTAAACTTTTGCAGTCTTCTCCAAATAGGTTCTGAATTGTTTCTATTTAAATTTATTTTAAGGGATTACAACTTCTTTTTTCCAGCTGTGGTAAATAGATTACTTTTTTCGTTCAACAAAGTTTTGCTGAAAGCCAACTGTACCAGTCACTTATGGAGACATGAGTGGGGGATAGGGTGGATGTGGTCCCCTACTACCTATCTCAAGCTGACAGCAAAGTGGCTACTCCTGGGATGTCAAATTTCCACGTCTTTATACTCTGAAGACCCATAAGTATTACTTCTGACAGCCTATCAGGTGGACTTTATATAATCATATAAAAGTATATAATCATATTGCCTATAAATAATTGCTTAATCTTTCATGTACTTATGGCTTTTTTTTTGAGAAACATCTACCATACTTCACTGAATACAAGGTAATATTGATCTTAAGATTGTGATTATTTTATGTGCTTCTAAAAAATTAAAACTATAGCAAATTATAATTGCAAGATGCTACTCATAGATGCTAAAATCTATAAAATAACTATATATCTTAGAAGCACTGAAATATTAGTTTCTCTTTGAAATGGTGCACTAAGAAACACAGTTTGGGAACTGCTGCCCTTTCCTAATCAGCATGAAGTACAGTGCTGGTTGGGGGCTGAAACAGGCCTTGCAGCCTGGGCTGCAGATCCCCGTTACTTCAGGTTTCCCGGGAGACCTCACCTGGGGAGGTCTTGCTTCACATCGAGGCCCTGCCAGAGGGTGGTGGGAAAAAAAGGCATAATGAAGATTTGGATAAAGGAGGTAGTAGTGGTTGTGTTTATGATGGTTTTCTAGGGCTTCCCTGGTAGCTCAGCTGGTAAAGAATCTGCCTGCAATGCAGGAGACCCAGTTCAATTCCTGGGTTGGGAAGATCCCCTGAAGCAGGGCATGGCTACCCACTCCAGTGTGCTTGCCTGGAGCATCCTCATGGACAGAGGAGCCTGGCAGGCTACAGTCCATGAACTTGCAAGTCAGACACGACTGAGCGACTAAGCGCACATGATGGTTTTCTATTTCAACTAGCAGGAAAGTGCTTCTGTCTTTTCTGAGTGTATTTGTGTGTATCCATTTTTTGGATACACTAAAATGGGCATGAAGCATACTTTCTCAAGTTTCAGAATTACTGTTTGGTGTACTGATGAGAATGTGGACTTTGGGATCCACTGGGCCAGAACCCTCAATCTTGACTGTCTTTTATGAATGGGCAGACTCTGGCAAAGGCAGGCAAGGCTCAGGAAGGACCAAAGGTCTGGAGACACTTGCCCATCTAAAGGGAGCAGCCTCTGAATCGCCACAGAAAGGACTGGAGGGAGCTGTCTGGTGTGCTCAGGTCTGCTGGTTATCCAGGAAAGTCAGATGTTTAGATTTTTATGGAAAATTTCCCAGTTTTACAATGTTGGCAACTAATTCAATTATTCTGTACAGCCCCATATGTTGTTAGATCAGTGGACTTTGCCTTTGGCCACCAGGGCTGCTGCTGCCAGCCATGCCCAAAGTGGTCACTGGACGAGGATTCCCTCGGGAGGGCCGTCACCTCTTCCCCTTGCTGAGCTTTGAGAAAACAGCTCAAATGAGGGGGTAAGAAAGGAGGGTGTTCAGCCAGTCTTTCTTGATTCCATAATCCTCAGAAAGAAAGGAAACAAGGTCTGGCTACCTTGCATCAGAAGCAAAAAAGAATTCCACTGCTTTATTGCCCACAGCGTGAAGGCAGGTCGAGCTGTCCAGCCTCTTCATCCTTGTTTTACAGATATTCTTCACATTCTCAATATTGCCTAGAAAACGAAGGGAAGGATCACAAATCCTGTTCAAACTATTTCCTCTGAACAACAGGAAGAAGCCAGTTTCCCCTTTGAATACGTGTGGCAGAAATGTGCAGTTTTTAGCTCTGTCTGTATCAGCCAAATTGTGTAAAAGATCTCCAGATAGGAAGAGCTCTGAATTGACTGCTAACAAAACAAACCAAATCAACACTCAAATCAGGACATGGGTGCCTTTATGTAACAGAACCACATACAGGTCCCTTGACTTGTGTACGTTATTGAAAATATACACAATAAAAAGCTTTTGAAAACATGGAGCCAAGTCTCAGTTGCATGAAAACCATTTGGACCTGGTCCCAGCAGAGTGCAGGAACGCATCCTGCCTCTGAGGGGAGCTGCTGCCTCCCGAACACCGTGGCGCTGTTCAAGTCCTTCTCAAGAAACTTACGTGTCCTATATAAGACAGGGATCTGTTCTGTGGAGAGTTTGTATTTGCTCCTTACTCCGATGAGTAGGGGGCTGCCTCTCCTGTAAGAATAAGAGGGAACTGAGTTACCTATTGCCTTGACACCCTGGGCTGGGCTGGATGTCCTCTGAACACTGAGATGGTACCCACATTGAGCCCCCTTCCCAGGGCAAAGTAAGTCCAAGATCCCAAAGACTGTCCCAGAAGTTACAGAACCACTAAATATAGATAATTTAGAGAAATAAACTTTTATTGCTTCTTCACACTACCTTCTTCTGCATTCAAAATAGTAATATCATGATAACAGACTTTAAAAGGAGTTTCAAAATGTGACAGGGACCAACGAGCATTTTATAATTCTATAATTTGAAACACTTAAATTCCAAATGGCAATTTAGTTCCTGTTCAAGGAAAAATAAAGTTATAATACATTCACATTATTTCCTGCCTTGATATTGTGATAGTCTGGGCCACAGGTGCGTTCTCAATGGCTCCCCAGTGCCTTCAGCATGAAGCCTGCACCCACAGGGCAGCCTAGATCCTATGCAGCTGGATCTCTGCCACCTCCCGACTCCCCACCAGCTCTCGGGTTTCACGGGGTAGTGTCCAGACAACACTGCTCGCTGCTGTCACCCATGCCGGGCACATAGGAGGCATCAGTGAGCACACACTGAGACTACAGGAGCCTCAAGTCCCACCAGCGCCCCTCCCTGTCACCATCCTGGCCTCACTGCAGATCCCTCACTCGAGGCTCCTTGCTCATGCTGGTTTCTCGGCCTGCCTTAGCCAGGCCGACACCTGCTTCCCTTGGGCCCCCTGTGCACTGCCTCCCGGCCCCCATCACAGAGGACGACATTCTCAGCCCAGCTCTGCGCTCCTGCACAACCGACTGTCCCGTCCCTAAAGGCCCGGTGTCCCTGGGTCCCCGGCTCAGCACGCAGGAAGTGCTCAACAAGCGTTGGCTGGAGAGATGGACAGATGAATGCGTAGATGGTCAGAGTGACTGTGGATGGATAGACAGATGGATGGATAGAAGGGATGGACAGGTGAATGAGTAGACAGACAAATGGTGGATGGAGAGACAGATGGACAGGTGGGTGGTATAATGGCGCCCGCACACCCACTTGTGTGAACCCACACAGTACTGGGCTCCGACAGAAGGACGTGTGGGCTGACCCAGGCCCTCTCAGCTGATTCTTGGGTCACACCCGGCATGAAGGTGATGAAGTTTGAGCTCTTGGCTTTCAAGGCCTCTTCTTTACTGGACTCAAATCAACATTCATTTTTGTTCTTAATTTCATGTTCATAATTTTACATGCTTTTTCTAAAGGGAATCTTTGAAACTGACCTGAAACCTGGATCTGTCCTTGCTATACAATTTTATTTTCAGTTGGAATTTGTTGTCAATTCCTAAAAAAAACTAGAGCTTTCAAATAAATATCCAATTTTATAGTTTCTCTTTTAAAGAAATCAGAAACTCCAGCCACAGTTGTCCTTTAGTACCTTCCACTTTGCCAGAGGCCCTGCTCCTACCTTGTGCCTCAAGCTAAGTGATTTTATTTTATTCATTTGTAACTGGAAATGTCAGTGCATTCTGCCTTACCTTGTGGCCACGGCTTCTCCAGGGTAGTGGATGCTCTTGAAAACCAGGGCAAATGCGCCTTCCTGAAAAGACAAGAAAGGAGAGTGGAACAACTCACTCTGGCTAAGCTAGGCTGCTGCAGCCCAGTCAGTCCACGACTGCAGACAGCTCTCCCTGGGGCCTCTTCACTGCAGGCGGTCCTGGGGTCACTCACTCAGGGTACTGAATGCAGGACGGCACATGCACAGGGATGTCAGAAACCAACCACACCACAATCAAGCGCCAAAGCCCAGAACTTGTGGATTTCACTGTGAGCAATACACATCACCCTGCCCAGGCCCAGAAGGAACAGCTTCCGGCTCTGTGATGGCTGGGTGGACTGCTGCGGCTAGGGGATGAGAACTGCAGGGGTGCGGCCCAGGGCCTCAGGCACTCTGCCTACTCAGGGAGCAGTCGTGAGGATGAAAGGGGCTAAACTAGGACCTATGTTTAGCTCCACACACGTTAGTGCCTGGGTTCAAATTCGGGCTCCTCGCCTTAACTGGGCAATCCTTTCAGCCTTCTTTGTGCCTCGTGGTGAGCGGCCATCTTGTACAGTTTCTGTGAACCAAAGCATTTTAAGTGCCTAGAACAGTGCCTGCCATGGAAGCATGAGTTGTTATAATTATTATTTCTATGGCAATAACGACTCTGTGTCTTACCTTGTTGGTTTGTGCAAATCAGAATTAGAATACAGCTCTCCTATCTCAAGACTCCAAATACTCTCCCTATTTAAAACCTTGATGCAAAACTCTCTCCTACATTCTGACCATCCATACTAACCAGGACCCGACTTGACCTTATGTACAGCCAGCTATCAGTCTGAATTTCTAAGACTTGGGAACCTGGGCACACCCAGGGTCTCCCGCTATGGCCTTTGTACCAGAGATACCTAGGGCCAGCAACTCCAGGCCTCTAAGGGTCTTTCAAACTGCCCCAGATGAAGGGGGTTTAGGCAGAATCTGAGGAGCCTGATATTCATCCTGCTGGTTTGTCAACAATGAAGTAGCACTGAACAGAAAAGTTCTTCCCAGTCTCTGCCAAAAAGAGCTCTGTGTTGCTACGGGTACACCACTGACGTTTAAAAGGGCCACCACTGGGATGCATTCCCAAGATTTAAAATTACAAATGGGAAAGAGGAAATACTATGCTGCAAAACTAAACTGATTCACTGTGCATTAGTTATGGGACAGGCTTTTATTTATAAATATGTTCTCTAAATTAAGGTCCCCCAAGACAGGAGTCATAGGGCAAAGGGTTTAACAGTATACTTAAAAAAAAAAAAAAGACTGAAACGACAAAAGGGTCACATACTTTAAACGGCCGAGTTTGTACCCAAAGAAGCCTCTGACCCCAGATGTTCCAGACTCTTGGCCCTGAACACTGTCTCCAAACTGCCCCCATCTTGGGGGAAACTATGGACAGCCCCGATGCTCAGAGGGTGGACTCCAGCAAGTCTGGAGCCCGCTCCTCCTCCCTCCACCATCCCACGGAGGGCCTACTCTACCTCCTTCTCCAAAGAGGGGTCTCTCCTGGGCGTCCCCCGCCAAAACCTCACAACTCCTCCCATATCTACAAGCATGCAAGCTTTTAAGGCAGACGCTGCGGGCGAGCCATCGTCAGTCCTCGGGTTCTCGGTGCGGGCTTGCGTGCGAGCGCTGCTGAGAGCCGAGCGGGAATGGAGGCGGGGTTCAGACAGGCGAGAGCCGCAACTTACCAGCTGCTGTATGACTCTCTCCACCAGGGCTGAGAAGGTGACGTCCTCAGTTTCTCTGTTGTCGAACACGTATTTGATCAGCTTGGCAATGGTTTCTGTATCTGTTTCTGACTCAAACTCATAGCCTTTGCTTTCCTGGAATATTTGGTTGGACAAAGTGTCAGATAAGAGGCGTTGTGCAATGCTGGCCTGGCCAGCTCCCTCCCCTCCCTGCTGACTTGTCCTTGGAGTGACTTAAGGCAGAACAAGGGAAACAGGGAAGGGATGAGAGATGTCTGCCCGACTCCCACAGCCTGACACAGCTGAGTCACCGCGGTCTGCCCTGAGATCATCCCGCCTCAGAAGCTCGTCCTTGCAACTAATCTGGACATTGCAAAAAGTGTAGCAATCGAAATGATCAAATACACTGAGTCAAATCCACCACCTCCCAACCAATACCACAGCCTCTGCATACTCGAAACACTTGCGTCTGTCTTCCCACCCTGCATTCCATCTGGTGCATGAGTCGGTACGTTATTCCGTGAATACACTTTGTTCTTTAGAATCTGCTGTGAATCTGAAACAACCTTTGAGGTAAATGTGAATGCCCTTCCCTCTCCTCCATGGAGATCTGGGAAGGAGGCTGAGCTAGGGAGAAGGTCTGCGTCCACTGTGGTGACGTGGACAAGAGTGGATGGCAATTTGCTCCTGCCTTTTTTTCCGGCAGAAAATAAGACGGTTGGAAAGTTTCTGGGAAAGACCAATATCACTTGACTTAGATGTTACCCAGGGGCAGTATCTTACCAGAAATTTCCTCAGGTCTTTGTAATTTGTGATGATCCCATTATGGATGACAACGAATTCTGGAAGAAAAGTTTAGTCAACAGAGAAATGCTATGAAGATGTGAAGTTCAAGTCAGATGTGAAGACAGACAATTTGACAGCTTGAAACTCTACAAACTTTGCTTATACCGACACTTGTGTTAAGCAAACTTCATTTATAGAGATGAGAACTGACATCTGCCACGACTTCAATTTAAACCTGAGGAAATAACACATTTCTCCTTTGATAAAAAGCATCCATCAGCCTGGCCATGCACTGAGTTCTGATTTGTGGGCTACAATATCATGAAATAGATGTTGGTATTTATGTCACGTGAGATGATTAACCCTTCATTATCTATTAACTGTCTTCATATCCACTCCCTTCTCCATTTTTTTTTCATATCTATTGTGACATTGTTTCCTCACATTGTTTTCTTAACCCTGTCACACTTTCTCTCCTCAGAGCCTATTGTCTTAACTTCTCATCAATAATTTGTTTTCAAGAATCTGTGTTTTCTTTGTAAAAGACTTTGTGTAATTTTTGTATGCAACGCAGCTGTTGGGTGTAAGTCTTCCTTGAAAGTATGCTCTTCGGCTATCACTGATGAGTTAGAGAAACCTTACGAATCTTATTTCCCGGTTGTTTTCTTTTCAATTATTCATCCTGAGTCAGGGCAGGCACTTCCAAGTTTGGGTGTGGGGGGATCTCCTTGGAGCCTCCCTGCTTTGAGGACACAGACTCACTGTCTGCACTGAGGTGGGGTCCACCCTACCATGTGAGTGGGCAGGAGGCTGGGGTTGGTGTGGCTGCCCTGCCGAGAGGCATGCACTGGGCTTTCCTGTTCTCTGGAAGAGGCTTCACCCTCCCAGACTGGGCAGGGGGAGCTGCCTCCAGGCACCAGTGTGAACAGGGGCAAAAGCACAAGGGAGGTGCTCTCTCCTGTGGCCTGACTTCCACAACAACTAACAGCAAGTGAGGCTTGTCAAGTGTTTAGTTAATAGTATTGAGTGGGCCAAAAAGTTTGTTTAGGGTTTTTCCCTAAGATGTTACAGAACAAATTTTTCAGCCAACACAATAAATACCCTTGGTGGCTCAGATGGTAAAGAATCTGCCTGCAGTGCGGGAGACCAGGGCTTGATCCCTGGGTCAGGAAGAATCCCTGGACAAGGAAATGGCAAGCCACTTCAGTATTATTGCCTGGAGAATCCCTATGGACAGAAGGGCCTGGCGGGCTACAGTCCATGGGGTCACACAGAGTTGGACACGACTGAAGTGACTAACATGTTCAACATGTTCATTAAATACCCCACAGCTACTCTTATGTATCTGACCCCTGCTCTAATACGATGCTTGGCAAGAACTTGCATTATGCTGCATTCGGGAATCAGCCTGGGGTTTGGGGGCCCTGGCTGCCTCCAGAAATCATTCTCTCTCCCGGACACTCTTCCCATCATGGCCAGGTGTGGGTTGTGGGGTTTTCTGACCTGACCAGGCCCAAACTAGAGTGGTGACCCTCTAGATGATGTCTCAGACCTTTGTCGCCCTTGAAGCCCTGTAAGGAGTCAGGGATTATCCCCTGCCTTCTCATATGCCCATGTGTCCTGCTCCCAGAGGCCCTGACACCCCTGGGGGCTGAGCAGAGTCTCCAAGAGCTTCCGGCGGCAGCTCCGAACCCACACGTCCTGCCTGTGTGTGAGGGAGCTGGGAGCACCGTTTAAGGGAGCCGCCACACAGAGAGCCGTCCTGGGGGCTCAGGCAAGCTATGTGGGCCCAGGCCTACTGGGGGCTGACGTGCTGCGAGGGGACTTGGAAGGTCAGGACTGGAGCAGGCACCTCAGGTGTTAGACAAGATCAGCACTTCTACCTGCCCTGGTGCGGACCACTCTCTTCAGAGGCAGGGCTGGGTACAGCCGGATGAGAGATGAACTCAAACCTTTCCTCAGGCACTCTGCCCTCTGGAACACCCTGGTCCCCAGTCGAGAAACAATGCCCAGGTCTTCAACCCTTTGCACCACCAAGTCCCCCTGAGGCTGGGTCCCCAGGGCCAACAGAATCTGTGGGAAGGGCCACTGTGTTCCTGTGGATGCCCATGGAGTCAGCACCACCCACAGGCATCTGCACTTAGGAGGCCAGGTTGAATTTGCCTCCTGTCCAGGGCCCAGGGTCACCAGTTTGGATACTCAGGGAAGACAGGGCAGCTGAGAAGCCAGGTGGTGTTGAGTGTGGATCAAGTCTGACACACACGTCACAGGGCCAGTCATGCCCCTGGGACAGGGGAGCAAGGCTGCACTACATACCGTTGCCTTTGTCTGAGCGCTGTGGGTGGCTGTTGACAGCATTGGGCACCCCGTGAGTGGCCCAGCGTGTGTGGGCAATGCCAAAGTGGGTCTCAAACTCCACTTTCAGGTCCATGCTGTCTTGTTCTAGATGAAGGAAAAATGTTTGCCACACTTTAAAAATAAGCATTGACATGATGCTGTTACCCAAGGTGGCTTCATTAAATGGAGACATCAGCCACACCAAAAGTATGTTCCATCATAAACCACAAAGGCCCCATTCTGGGAGTTTCTGCCAGACCCTTGTGTTACTTAGTACTTATCAATAACTTAAACTCACTTACTTGAAATAAACTCACTTTAAAAATAAAGGCTCAGGGATTTCTCTGGTGGTCCAGAGGCTAAGACTCTGCACTCCCTATGCAGGGGGCCCGTGTTTGATCCCTGGTCAGGGAACTAGATACCACATGCTGCAACTAAGAGCTGGCTTCAACTATAATAAAAAAGATCCCACGTGTTGCAGCTAGGACCCAGTGCCAAATAAATAAATAATTAAAGAAAAAAAACCAAAGGCTCAGACGGTAAAGCGTCTGTCTACAGTGCAGGAGACCTGGGTTCGATTCCTGGGTTGGGAAGATTCCCTGGAGAAGGAAACGGCAACCCACTCCAGTACTCTTGCTTAGAAAATCCCATGGACGGAGGAGCCTGGTGCAGGCTACTGTCCATGGGGTCGCAAAGAGTCGGACATGACTGAGTGACTTCACCCACCATAAATGGGAAAGCAGCATCATTTGCCAGAAAAATTAAAATACATAAGTACTAAATATTGAAAAAGAGATACTCAGAGCACCTTCACCTGAAATAAACCATCCCATGCTCTGGGCAGCAGTTTTGCAACATGGATTTAACCCTCCTCCTAAAGACGAATAGGTTAACGTCTTTAGTCTCCAATGCTGCAGGGATGAGCCTCTCGAGCAGCCTAGGCTGTATTTGCTACCAACTCGGCAAGTCCTTCACTTACTGTAAAGCTCTTCATCAAGGGCCTTGACATTTCCTCTTTTCTTGACTAGCTGGATATGCCTTTCTTTGACTTCATTATTATTTCCATCAATTGCCACACCTGTAAAGTAAACATGATTTTTGTATTGGAATTTGTTTTGTCTCTCACAGTTCATTATAGGGAGCAACCCAGGGGAGGGCTATACAACTGTGAATTTATTAGTTCTCATTCCTTAGGCTTGCAGCCCAGAAGAGAACCAGACAGTGTTAGAATATCAACTTGGAAAGAGGAGGCTATGGCTGTGGCAGTGCTTACCAGCAGGCAGGGAACACATGCTTGAGCCCTGCTGCAGCTGCTAACCCAGGATAACTCCTGGGAGCCTGCCTGCAGGAGGTGTGCCACCATGTCTGCCACCAAAGGCAGTGGGCTCATTTAAGAAAGTTTCTGTGCTTTGCATTCTGGCACTTTAACAACAGAGTTTCCACTGCACTAGTGTTCCTGCAATCTTTCATCTTGCTTTCTATTAAGAATTTATGGTGGTGGTGGTGGTTTAGTCGCTAAGTTGTCTATGAATCTTACAACCCCATGCGACCGTAGCCTGCCAGGCTCCTCTGTCCATGGGATTCTCCAGGCAAGAATGCTGGAGTGGGTTGCCTTTTCCTTTTCCAATTAAGAATTTATAGGGATACATAATTATCTGGCTCTTCTTTTTCTCCTAAGGCTGCTTAATTAAAAATGGGAACAGACTAAATAGCCACCTCTTATGTGGATGGAGAAGTGAACTGTGAGATGGCCATCCAGAAGAGTACCGTGCAGTCACTTAGATAATGTTAGGAAGCATTGAGGATAACGGAAAATGACAAGGCAAGTGAAAGAAGAATACAAAATTACAGAACGGCATAATTGTAATTAGGTAAAAACAATAAATAACTGCATGACACTTCTACTGTCCCCAGACCCCAGATGACCAGAAGAGGTATTGATATTGATGGGGGGCACTTTTGATGGATTTTTTCTTACCCTTGTTTTTCCTTTCTATTTTTCTATAGAAATTTTCCAATTTCTTTAATGAACAAGCACTATGTTTGCATGGTGGTCTCCTTTGGAGCTTACCTGCCGAGTCATAGCCTCTGTACTCAAGCCGCTGCAGGCCCTTGATGAGGGTTTCAAAAATCTCCTTCCTTGTCCGGGGGACTCTGTAATTCATGTAGGCAAAGATTCCTGTTAAAAGAGGGGGAAATCACACATTTACAAAACACTTGGTTCATGTTTAGAAGAAAACACTTCTGGGGACACACACAGCGCTGGATGTGCATCACTGGAGAGCTTCCTCTGCCTTCAGAAGACAGGGTGGCCTTCCCCAGACACAGTGGAAGAAGAGCCGAACTCCCTTCCTGCTTCTAGAAGGGCATGGTGTGCGGTCCTCCTGCAGTGACTAAAGGACTGGCGAAGCCTGTGAAGAACACACACACACACAGCATGGACTTGCAATTCCACGACTTCTCTGATGGACATACTTGCAGAAAACATCCTTCACTGTGGCAGCATTTATAACAGAAAAGATCAGCAAAACAAAGCAACTACCTAGGGACACCTGGAAGTCCCCGCTATGTGAACTCCTTGGTTTGCACCGAACACTCCTAGGAAGAGTGATAAGGAGATCACCCCAGCCTCCCGCCACAGGTAGGAGCAGGGCTGGGACCTTAATTCCACTTTCCACTTGGCCTAGGGCTTGGAGCGTTACATTCAACAAGCACTGCTGTTACACAATAGCAAGCATAAAATCATCTCTTGGCCCCACAGAGAATCCTTATCATCAAGGAAGGCCTACCAGTCAAGAAGATTTTGTTTGGCTTTATTTTCAGCAATCATATATCAAAACAAGATTTTACCAAATAGGAAAAAACAGTCATCATGTTGGTTCTTTTCAAACTCCTCCACTCCAGTGCTTGAGACTATGAACCCTAGGTCTGTGTCTATCTTGCTCTGGGAGTGTTCCAAAACATCATCGCTCTGTCCTTTTGCCCTACATAGGAAAACTTGCCTCTCTCACAGTTCAGCTCCAACCCCACCTTCTGGGGCAGGCTTATCCGGGCCCCGGCCAGAAGAGTTCACTTGCTCTGGTGGCTGCCCAGTGCTCTTACATCCTGAGACATCTAAATCTCCTGACAAAGTCACAGGCAGGTGCTTCTATCTTTATATTTCTTACTATATCTTGGCACATGGTCCTTGTTCAATAAATGCATGTGGAATAGTGTTAAGTAAGGAAATAAGGGTTGTTGCTCAGTTGTGTCCGACTCTTTGAGACTCCGTGGACTGTAGCCTGCCAGGCTCCCCTGTCCATGGAATTCTCCAGAAAAAATACTGGAGTGAATTGCCATTCCCTTCTCCAGGGGCTCTTCCCAATCCAGGGACTGAATCTGAGTCTCCTGCATTGCAGGTGAATTCTTTTACTGTCTGAGCCGCCAGGGGTGCTGAATAAAATGACCACAAATCTGTATTAACTTAAGAGTCCATTGATGGATGAATGAACAAAGGAACCGTGGAATATATATATATGTAATATTAATGGAATATCATCCAGCCATAAAAAAGAAAGAAATCCTGCCATTTGTGACAATATGCATGAATCTTAAGGACAATATGTTAAGTGAAGTATATCAGACAGAGAGAGGCAAAAATTGTATGATCTCATTTATATATAGAATCTAAAAAAAACCTAACTCATGAATAAAGAAATCAGATTAGTGGTTGCCATAGGTAGTGGGTAAGGGGTGAGGGAATTAGGTGAAGGTAGTCCACAGGTAGAAACTTCCAGTTATAAGATTAATTCTGTTAATAATATTCTATTGTATATTTCAAAGTTGCTAAGACAGTAGATCTTAAATGCTCTTATCAGAGTGAAAAATTTTTAATTATGTGAGGTGATGAATGTTAACTAATCTTACTGGGGGCAATCATTCTGCAACATGTATATACATGCATGAATGCATGCTAAGTTGCTTCAGTCATGTCTGACTCTTTGTAAGCCCATGGACTGTAGCTTACCAGGCTCCTCTGTTCATGGGGATTCTCCAGGTACGAATACTGGAGTGGGTTTTGCCATGCCCTCCTCCAGAGGATTTTCCTAAACCCAGGGATTGAACCCACATCTCTCATGTCTCCTGCATTGGCAGGCAGGTTCTTTACCGCTAGAACCACCTTGGAAGCCCATGTATATACATAAACACATACCTATATAACACATACCAATACATATATACATATACAAATCACTATGTTGTGTACCAGTCAGTCCTAAATACTCATTGGAAGGACTGATGCTGAAGCTGAAGCTCCAATACTTTGGCCAACTGATACGAAGAACTGACTCATTGGAAAAGACCCTGGTGCTGTGAAAGATTGAAGGCAGGAGGAGAAGGAGATGACAGAGAATGAAGTGGTTGGATGGCATCACTGACTTGATGGACATGAGTCTGAGCAAGCTCTGGGAGTTGGTGATGGATAGGGAAGCCTGGTGTGCTGCAGTCCATGGGGTCACAAAGAGTCAGACACAACTGAACAACTGAACTGAACTGATGTTGTGTACCTTAAACTTACATGTCAATTATATGTCAACTATATCTCAATAAAACTGGAGAAAAAATTGGCCAAAGATAAACCTTGGAGAGGGCAATCTGCCAGCATATAACTGAGGACTGATAATGATTATATAGCAAACCACTATGTGATATTTCTGTAATGTTTCTAGATTATATTCAAGTTAATACTGTATAATTGAATGAATGATTAAACTTCAATTAAGTAAATATTATATGCCACCGACTCGATGGGCATGAGTTTGAGCAAGCTCCAGGAGCTGGCGATAGACAAGGAAGATGGCTGGACAGCATTACCAAATCAATGAACGTGAACTTGGGCAAATTACGGAAGATGGTGAGGGATAGGGTGGCCTAGTATGCTGCAGTCCATGCAATTGCAAAGAGTCAGATACAACTGAGCAACTGAAGTGAACTGAACTGAATTGAAGCAGTAACAAGGGTCACATCACGTGAAACATAACTTGCTAAAATTAATCTAGACACACTCAATCAAAAAAAGATGATAAAATTATACAGTGCTAAAAATTATATTTTGCATTTCTAGGTACTGTATGCTACTGTATATAGGATATATTTGCACACAAGTATTAAGATGCAGAATTTATATTTTAAAACATGCTCAGTGTGCTTTCTGAGCAGTTACAGACGTTTTCCTTTAAAAATGGCCAAGGATAATGTTGGCAGTCAGTTATTTTTGTCTTCTAGGTCAGGTGAGAAGCATTTACCCAGCTAAGCATCTGTGCTTCAGGAGCTCACAATTTATCCTACACTTCAAACCTAACCATGTCTGGCCACAAGATGTATTTTTGTCAACCTACTTAAATATAATAAAAGACCATTACTTTTTAATGTAAATTTTTAACAGTTCTAATAGGATACAGGGGCTTCCCTGATGGCTCAGTTGGTAAAGAATCTGCCTACAATGCAGGAGATCCAGGTTCAAGTCCTGGTTTGGGAAGATCCCCTGAGAAGAAAATGACAACCAACTCCAGTATTCTTGCCAGGGAAACCCCATGGACAGAGGAGCCTGGCAGGCTATAGTCCACAGGGTTGCACAGAGTTGGACACGACTGAGCAACTAAACCACCACTGGGATACAAGTCATATGTTATTGCTGTTCAGTTGCCCAGTCACGTCTGACTCTTTGCGACCCCATGGACTGCAGCACACCAGGCCTCCCTGTCCCTCACCACCTCCCAGAGTTTGACTAAGTTCACGTTCATTGCACCAGTGATGCCATCCAGCCATCCATCTTCCTTCTGCTCTCAATCTTTTCCAGCATCAGGGACTTTTCCAATGAGTTGTCTGTTGGCATCAGATGACCAAACTACTAGAGCTTCCGTATCAGTCCTTCCAGTGAACGTTCAGGATAAATCTCCCTAAGATTGACTGATTTGATCTCCTTGCTCTCCAAGGGACTTTCAGCAGTCTCCTCCAGCACCACAGTTAAAGGCATCAATTCTTTGGCGTTCTGCCTTCTTTATGGTCCAGCTCTCACAATTGTACCTGACCACTGGAAAGACCATAGCCTTGACTATACAGACTTTTTTCAGGAATGTCTCTGCTTTTCAACACATTGCCTAGGTTTGTCATCGCTTTCCTGCCAAGAAGCAATCGTCTTCTGATTTCATGGCTGCAGTCACCAGCCACCATGATTTTGGAGCCCAAGAAGAGGAAATCTGTCACTACTTCCACTTTTCCCCTTCTATTTACCATTCAGTAATGGGAGTGGATGCCATGATCTTAGTTTTTTTAAATATTTAGTCTTAAGCCAGCTCTTTCACTCTCCTCCTTCACCTTCATTGAGAGGCTCTTTAGTTCCTCTTCACTTTCTGCCATTAGAGTGGTATCATCTGCCTATTGGAGGTTGTTGATGTTTCTCCCACCTATCTTGATTCCAGCTTGTACCTCATCCAGTCCAGCATTTCTCATAAGTCACATACCATAATGTTATACACTTGAAATAGTATATAATACAATGGTTTTTAAGTATATTCACAGAGTTGTGTAGCCATCACCAAAATCTATGATTAGGTAAAACTTTTCATAATATTAACTTTTTTGCAAAAAAAGCAGGAAGTTCCCTGGAGGGATATGGTGAAATTCCAGTCAATGTAAAGAGCACATAGCTATGAGAGATGGCTATATGAAGGATGGAGCAACTCACAAACCATTTTTGTCTCTTTTAAACTGCGAAACTTTCCTGGCACCTTGGGAATTGTTCTAGAATTATACCTGCACCTCACAAAACGGAGCTAACAGCCATTGCAAATGACACAAAGGCCCACCCACAGGCCAGTTATTTTAAATCCAAAATACCCTTCCGAAAGAGTGCTATATGGCTCTGCTCTGAAATTCTCCCCGTAACTCCCCTTCCTCTGGGTCACACTTCACTTCTGAACTCATGGCAGGCACATACACATCTCTGGCTCTGAGATCTGCAACAGCCTCCTTGGTTGTGGCTGCCTTGACTGCTGCTCCACAGTCCCTGATGGGCTGGGACAAGCTGGAACGGCTAAAGGGTCCTGGCCCTCAGGAGCGCCAGCTGTGTCCACACCCAGCTGGGAGGCTTGGCAGCCACTCAGACACTGTTTGGTTGATTACTGTGGTGAGAGGGGTTGCCAAGAAGTGGTTTTCAAGGTCTTTGCACAAGAAGGCATAAATCTAACTTTTAACATGAAATCTCTAGCATACCAACATGTGTTCAGTAAGTTCTTTTAAGCGCTCTTTCTCTCCTCTGCTCTTGGCTGCACTCTCCCTGCATGCTATCAGATGAGAGTGAATAAACCAGCACCTCCATGAGGCTCTTACTGTTTTAAAAATAATGATATAGAATACAAAGCTGCTCTCTCAGAAATCTTGCTTGCTATTCATGTCATATTTCCCTTCTGGAATCCCTTCCATCAGCAATAAGAGTTGCAGAGAGAATCCATTTTTTTACCTATGAAATCAGTTAAGATCAACCAGTTTTTGACAATAAGAGTTTAAATTTGTGCACTCTCTTGGAAGGCAATTTGCAATCTCTCAAATTAAAATGT